AAATGAAACACTAATAGCTGGTGTTTGTGACTATAAGCAGTTACATTTCATTTTATAATTTTTTTCTGGTTAATTTCATCCTTTGTACATCCTATTCATCACATATTTGTGTGGTTGTGAGATACAAGAAATGTTTTTAAAGAAATCCTTTTGTGGCACACCTTGTTAAAAAAGACATGATTAAACATTATAAGCATTTCAAGAATTTGTGATTCATTTCTTTCCCTCTGCATGTTTCCATCTTATCACCCAATTGAGCACTACCCCCCCTCACCTGTAGTAGCTGCAGTGGAACTCCTGTTTAATGAAGCTGTACTTGTCCTTCTTGGACATCTCCATAGCTTTACTGGCCTGTTTTGAGTGGGTACCTCCTACCATGAGAGATCCTGATCGAGGACTGATGAGATCAAGTCCCACTTTCCAGCTGATGTCCACCCCACTCTGGCCGCTTTCAACGAACTGCTCACTGGATTCATAGATGCTGCTGACCACCTCCTTCTTGCAGTCAAGCTCAGCTCTCCAATCCACTAGTGCCAGTGGCAGCTTCTGCTTCTCATTGTTCAGGTACGGGTTGGTGCACAGCGTGCAGGAGTTGTCTGCTTTCCTCTGCCAGTGCTCCACGTCGATGATGTAGGCACCTTTACGCTCCATGGTGACTACATCAAAGCCCTCACCTGCCAGGTTCGACCCAGGTACCATCTGGGCCTTCTGGCACTGGAGGGGGTTTCTCTCTGTAGTGCAGTGTGGAAGACCAGGGGGCAGCCAGCACCCCCACAGCCAGAGGACAAACAGCCACCACATGACAGAAGAGAGAGAAGGGGACGATGGTCTGTGAAAACTGTGGAAGAAAAATTATCACAATATATTATGTGCTGGATATTAAGGATAACTTTCAAACATTATTCTTAGGTGTATATTATTGCTGAGGAGAAGCACATTTGCATGACAACACTAGCATTGACAAGATATAAGATATAGTGCACCTCATCAGTGTATGTGTGTTCAGTGGTGGGGACCTATAGATTAAATGTGTGTGTGCATGTCTTTCAGTGGGACTTATAGATTAAATGTGTGTGTGTGCAGATTTTCCAGTGTGTATGTGCACATTTTTCAGTGCTTTAAGTCCCACACGGCTTCCCATAGCTGTGCACACATTTCCAGGTAGAATGTGATTTGTAAAGAGAACATTACTTGCAGGTGTGCGTACGCACGGTTTTATAAATCTGACTTTTTTCTACACACACCATTTTTGGCTTTTGCACATACGTATACTTTCAGTACAAGTCCCACACAGTGGTTTATAAATGAGACCCCAGGTCACTTAAAATGGCAAAAATGTTATTGGACTATTTGGGGAAACAGGAGTACCAGGAAGAAATTCACTTGAGCACCGGGAGAAAATGCATACCCAAGGCAAACCAGAGACAGGAGCCTATCCCATAACCCCAGAGGGCTAAAGTCACAGTGCTTCTCACTAAACACAACCCCATTTCCAAAAATGTTGGAATGCTTTGTAAATAAAAGTAATAAGTTTGGACACAGGCAACGAAAGACTAGATGTAGGTTAATTGGCAAGAGGTCAGTAAGGTGATTGGGAATAGACAGTGTCATGGACCACTCCGAGGACGTCCCGTTGACTTCACCCAGGGATTCTCTTTCGTGCCCTTGGGGTTTCCTAAGAAGGCAGTGTCACAGTGACCAAACTACTCCCCACTCGCATCGGGAACCAGGAGAACCAGTTACCGCACGCCACCCACTGACAGCTGAAGTTCATCGGGGTTAATGGATGACCTTACTTATTCGCTTCTGGCACGCCAGCCAGACGTGAGATCTTCAACATTTTTTGCGAGTTCGAGCAGTTCTGTCCCATATCCCCTCCACCTGTCTAGACCTCTGCCTGCCTGCCTGTTACCCTGACTCTGTTCTGTGTTCCCCGAGGATGATTCTAGCCTTGCCCTCAGTGCTGATGCCGATCACCAGATTACCCACCTGTCCCCGGACCTGAGCCTGCCTTGCCCCCCTCGATTCCTACAAAGATTGCCTGACCCCCCACCTGTCTCACGACAACGAGCCCAGAAAAATGTTTAGATTTTTTTCCCCCTGGATTACAGTCTGTTTAATAAAACCACTTGCACCTGACTGACCCGTTGCAGCGTCCTCCCTCTTCACATGACCCGATCCGTGACAGACAGTGAATGGACACAGTGCAATTATACATATAAAAACACATATGGAAGTTACATGGTGTACATTGTCCCCCGTAGTTTAATGCTTAAAGCACACTTAACAGGACATGTCTGTATTATTTAGGTTTATTGTTGCCGTTACTTTGTGCAAATAGCAAGTGAGCAAGTGTAGTGGGATCTCAAAAGTATTCCAAGGGATTACAAAAGTAAGCGGAGGGAAGGCAAAACTATTTAAAAAAATATATTTTTCCCACCCTGACCTTTTAGGGGGTCCATAGATGGAGCAGCAAAATTACAATAAAATGTATAATGTGCTTATAGCCTACAGTGACACTTTAAAATTAGGTTAATTACAGTTCGAACATTTTGAATGCAAATTTTTCACATCATATTCGAACAAATGTTTGAATATTGGTTAAAAGGTGACAGCCCTAAGATGGACCACGGCAAAATTTCGAATTCTTTTTTGGAAATTGTGGACGCTGCATCCTCTGGGCTAAAGAGGAGAGAGACCATCCAGATTGTTATTAGCGGACAGTTCAAAAGCCAGCATCCGTGATGGTATGGGGGTGCATTAGTGCCCATGGCTTGGGTAGCTCGTCCATCTGGAAAGAAGGCACCATTAATGCTGAACGATATATACAAGTTTTGGAGCAACATATGCTGCCATCTAAACATCTTTTTCAGAGAAGGCCTTGTTTATTTCTGCAAGACAATGCCTAACTGCATTCTGCGCATATTATAACAGCATGGCTCCATAGTAGAAGAGTCTGGGTGCTAGACTGGCCTGCCTGCAGTCCAGACCTGTCGCCCACTGACATCATTTGGTGCATCATGAAACAAAAAATACAACAAAGGAGACCCTGAACTGCTGAGCAGTTGAAATCTTATATATACCCTATATATAAAATACACCATTTCACTTTCAAGACTCCAGCAACTGGTTGTCTCAGTTGACCAAACATTTACAGAGTGTTGTAAAAATAAGAGGTGATACAACACAGTGGCTGTCACGTCCTGATCTTGCCATTCCTCCTGTGTGCCACTCCCCCTCCTTTACTTCATTTTCTTGTGAGTCTTTCCCTAGTCTGCTCATTAGCGTCTTAGTGTCATTACTTCACTAGTCCGCTGTGTTCCTGATCGTGTTTACCTCTCTAATAAATCCTGAGCTTCTAGCTGTAGAATCCCGCACCTATT